TATGTATATGTATATGTTTATGTATATGTATATGTGTATGTGTATGTATATGTGTATGTATATGTATATGTATATGTATATGTATATGTATATGTATATGAATATGTATATGTGTGTGTAGTTGTATTCAGGGCAGCAGGGGATCATTTGACGAATTATTATTCTGACCCCGCATCTCATATGAGGACCTTGGGTGTTTAGGGGTTTAGGCCACTCTGTGGCCCCGTGGTCTGGGCATTAGGTACTGTTAATTCGACTGAATCTTTTTTTTGACATTATGTTTGTTGTGTATCTTTTTTGTTTTCAATTGTTTTAATGTTTGTTGTGTATCTTTTTTTTTTCATTTGTTTTTCTAAATATTGGGGCTTACCGCTTTAAAACCAGGCTCCCAAAAGAGCCCGGGAACTACGAATGCTCCAAGAACGGGCTTGGTAAATAAACATGGTTAGTATGGATAATATAGGGGCCTTAATGATTACAATAGGGTTTGGTGGTCTCTGATACTATAGGTTTAATAAGGAACCCCCAAACCCTGTTCTAATTATTAAGGCCCCTAGATTACGTAGAACCTTTCGGGGATGCTAGCGTTACGGATTGGAGCGTTCATGATTCCGGTCTTGAGAAGCTGGGTCAGAAGCCCAAAGGACAGGCAGCGCCACGGAGCACGCAATCTGCGCAGGCCAGCGTTTAGGGTTTAGGGTTTCGGGTTTAGGGAGAGTGTCAGGATAATGTTCGACTGGGTCCCTTGCAGATGGGCATAGTTCTCTAAATTAGGGTCCCTGTTTAAGTCCCCAAAAGAGTACGGCACCCGTATAAAGAAGGACCCTAAAAGGGACCCTAATTCAGAGAACTACCAAGACACAGGGTGCTAAGTTGAACTCGAACATTGGGATCACGGCTTGGTTGGTTGATTGGAAGAAGAACGTCTCCCCTTACAACACCCCAAAAACAAACTCAACAAGCAGTTCGGGTGCACAGCTCGAACATGAGTGACGAGGGGGACGAACAGCACGTGCACACAAGCGGTGCCATGAGACATGCTTTTAGATGCAGAAGCGCTTTGCATCGTTGCTCAGCGTGCTTTGCACCCCAAGAGACCGCGACCCAAACCCAAAGTTGAACAAAAACACGGCTTCGGGCGCAAGGAAACGCTAGTCAGCACAGACAATTATCTTACTTACCTTTCTGAAGCCGACATCCTAAATCCAAAAAAAACAAAACGTCAAGCCCAAACCTAAACTCCTGAATCCCAACAAATCCTACAATTCCTGAACCCTAAACTTGGACAATTGGGGCCCAAGGATGCTCAAGGCATCGGGCACAAGCCAACTCGAAGCAGGGACTCCCCACTTTAAAAGGGGCCTCGTAAGCACGATGCTTTAGGGCTTAGGGTAGGGTTTAGGGTATAGGGTATAGGGTTTAGGGTTTAGGGTTCAGGGCTTAGGGCTTAGGGTTTAGGGATCGAATTTCGGGGGTATATCCTCTGGCTAAACCTATCCAAGGACTGTAAACGAAAGCCTGATTAGTAGGTCAGACTGCCAAGCCCAATACGAAGCTCTAAGAATTCGGACTTGTGGCTTAGTTCTCAAACTCTGCCGTTCTGGATCTCCGGGGGTGTGAGATCTTGGGAATCTGCGAAGACCAGAAGACTAAACGATTATGAGTCCCCCCTTTCGTCTCTATATACTTAGAGTACAAAGAAATGAATATAGGAGACCTCACTTGCTAGAGTGAGTCTGTTGGGGTGCACTTCTACTATCGCAAAAAGCTGCAACCCTAAGGCTCTAGACCCTAAAGGGTTGAGGGGTTTGGGGCTTAGGGTCCAGGTTTTAGGCCCGCCTGGCAGATGATCGTGATCACAAGCATGTTGCCGATGGTGACGAACCTAAGGAACAACTTGAGACCTAAACCCTAAACCCTAANNAAACCCTGAACCCTAAACCCCAAGGCCCTCCTTCCTTCCTCAGTAAACGGGAGTAGTGAAAGTCTTGGTGAGTTAAGCACTCAGGGTTCAGGGTTTAGGGTTTAGGGTTTAGGGTTTAGGGTTTAGGGTTTAGGGCAATAACAGTAGGACATCTGATAATATCCGGTCATGCCTAATGCTCTTGTTCATCAACAGCTCCTGCAACGAGTGGTTTTGCTCTTGCTTGCCAAAATCATGACGCCAGCAACATGTGACACCCGTAACTACATGCTAACAGCGGCGCTCGAATTGTGGCCGATCTGCAGTCAGAGCCAGTGACATAGCAGACTAGCAACAAACCCAACCGTAGTCATGGCCAAGCTATGTAGCTAGATATGGTAAACGTAAGTCTCATGGTGATTAACCGTGGCTGTTCCGCATAACAGTGAGCTTGACGATGTTCATACCAAGGCTCAGCACAAAATCCAGCAACAGCAGCAATGTCAACGTGGCCTTAATAGGTTCGCTGACAACAACGACGACTGTAACAATTACAACCCGCAACAGCTACTACTAAGAGCTTGTACAGTAAACCCGAAACCCAATTAGTAAATCAAGTCCTCAACCCAGCTAGAACCATCGAAAACTCGATGCCGGCCCTACGCTCTAAACCCAATAAGAGCCGTCTCCAACTAAAAAGCCCTTATCCTGCTCAAAGAAGTGCCATCACAAACTTGAGGCTGAACAGTTGAGGGGTAGTATGAGAGATCCTTTAAGGGGATCCTTACTCGAACCCTAAACGTAAAGCCTAAAAACTCTAAGCCCTACGCCCTAAGCCCCCAAACCCTAAAGCCTAACCCCTAAACCCCTAAACCCTAAACCCTAAACCCCTAAACCCTAAACCCTAAACCCTAAACCCCTAAACCCCTAAACCCTAAACACGAGGCTGCGGCCAGCTTGGATTCAGATCGTCGTGGGGCCCTTGGCCGAAGTTGAGCCTGCACAAATGGTCGGTGGGTTTAGGGGCTTAGGGGGTTTTTCTTCTAAAGTGCAATGGGCTTAGGGGTTTGGGGTTTAGGGTTTAGGGTTTAGGGGTTAGCGATTTAGGGTTTAGGGGTTAGCGGTGTAGGGTTTAGGGCTGATTATCTTACGGATTCCTTCAAAAAGGGTGCTGTGGAGGGTTCCTTTAAGAGGTCTTATAAGGGAACAAATAGGGTACTATAGGGTTTAGGGTTAGGGTTTATAGGGCTTGGGGTTCAGG